GATCCTAAATATAAGGTTTCAAGCATACACACATTCAGTCATATCTCTTTCAACTGTATCCTAGCAATCGTTGTTTCGTACCAAAAATATTTCTAAAACTAACAGTCCTTACATAATTTTATAACTCTACGATAACATTAAGCTTGTAGCTGCATATAATCAGATTTAATATACGACACTACTGCTATTCTATAATAAATTATATTAATATATTTAGCCTTTATTTCGGTATATTGGCCCATTCATCAATATCTTTCAAACTTCGCGCATGACCACTTTTTAAAGCTAAACTTATCGATAAATAAAATTATTTTTACTATGTTAGTTATAACGAACTTATATTAATACTAAACTCATTTACACATTTATCCCGAAACTGTATTCCTACTACTACTTAATATTAATTATGATCTAATTATACTAAAATTGTTAACAGTAATCATGTTAAATATACATACGTGCATTTCCTAATTTCCAGGCTCTCATACATCACGCATACAAACTTATTATTTGACCTTATTTCCTTCCTCGTTCTCGTCTTCTCACTGCTACGCCTATTCTACTGTTCTACTTCTTATCAGGATGTTGCGGCAATTGGCACGCAAGAGTGTCCTGATCCACTACGGTTGTCATTTTATTGCTTGGTTTTACTAGAAGCTAGCATTACAGACTACGCTAATAAACTAATCCCTGTCTCAGATTCTTACTTCAAGTCATACATGCATCCTCATTCATACTTCTTAAACTAAATTATGCCTAAAATGACTACAACTAATCAACCATCACATTCGCTCAGCCCTTCCACACCAACACTCTAACGTGTCTCCTACGCTTTCGTATTTTCCTATAAATACATTTATTCTACGACTTACAAACTATGAGGTATGGAGCGGTGTTACTCATCCGTTGCATTCAAATGTTCACACTGACATCCTTAGAGCGAAGGACATGTCTTAGCTAGCGAGCACACGAGCGAACTGATTCAATTTTTCAAAAGTGTGCAAGACTGTCGGTGTCTCTGTTACTAACGATGGAATTTGCCCACAGTCATCGTGTTGCGTTGGGCTGGATGGTTGGTGACCCAGTTACTGGACGAAACTTGGTGTTGCTGCGTTCGACACCGACTTCTCTGGGTCATCTAGTTTGGGGTCTGAGATCGAAAGACCCCTAAATCCCTAAGTCGCCTTTTACGACATCCTAGGATGACATGGAGTGGCCCAATTCTCTGCCGGGAACCACACGGCCCGTAGCCGTAGTTAGCCGGTAGTTGAATGTGGATCGCGGGGAATCGTATGTTGTGGCGCGCTATGAAAGAGGGTTACGTCGAGTTTAAGCTAATGCTAACGATGTACCACTGATATATGTATGTAGTTGATGTCTATCAGCGTTGTAAACTCGTGAGTCGCGCATTCACTCGCTAGTTAACAGTGTGCCCTACGCTTATCTTATTACAGTCATCATCATTCATGAATTCACTTAAATTATATTGCAGTTTCTTTAACTAAATAGTGAGATTATTAAACGCACGTACGTATGTCCAATCTGATTAGTTAACCTAAAAACTATTCTGTTATATATTATTTGTATTTAAATTACTAATGAGACTGCAGCGCGTGGCGAGTATTACGATGTTTTACGGTGGGTTTCACTTGGGTTATTGCTTCTTGATACTCAACTCATTTATTCCTTACGAAAATGATTAGCTTGTATAAACTCAACATCAATTCTGCTCTTCAAAGTATTATAAGTTTAATGAGCAGAAGTCATGGCAGGCAGTCATCCATCTCTCTTTCATACAACCTTCGTTCGTCGACTCTTTCCTAGTCTCATCTATTCACTACTTTGTCAGGAAACACTGAGTTCTATATCCAAGATTTACACAAATCAGTGTTTCCTAACACAATTAATTAGTCCGTATATTAAATCTGATTGAATTATGTCACTATCATTCTTTACTAAAGTCTAACTTACATCTATGAACTATCTTAGTTATCCTAAGAAAATAAACTTAACCCCGACACTCGCATACTCATTCATAGCATAGCACTATACAGTACCATCGCCCATACATCGCTTGTCATACGAAACACAAACAAAATTCTTACGACTACCACCATTTTATTAACAGCCCAGATTTTTCCATTCTTGTTTTTTAACCATTCACTGACCTTATCTTATATCTATTTACCCTATGTACCCTAAGAACGTAAATATAAATCCAATTGCACATTCGTACATAGCATGATATATTGTAATATCAGCCGTCATCCACTAATGTCACCTAAACGACCTTGCGTACCAAAATTAAACATAAAACTACACACTACTGTAAACCACATGGAGTTCGTTATTGTTGTTATTACACACTTAATTAGACTAAAATAAGTTATATTATCTAGATATAAATTGTAGGTAATTTTCATCACATCTTTTATTCGTCAGCTATCGTTCGTAACCTAACATTCGGTCTCCATTTTCTTAAATTAGTAGCTCGTATCGGTTTCTTAAATTATTTTACTTAAATATTTTGACTTTTACCCTTTTACCCACCGTGTCAGACTTGTATTGCAGTCTCCTAAAATTACTTTTTTAACCCTAACTTATGATCCTATCGTGATTCACTGGTTGTCATGGTTTTGGACGAATAAGATGTTATTTCGTCATCCACTCTAAATTGTATTTTAGAGAATTTCATCGTAGCCATGTGTAAGTCTATTGTCGAAGACTTATTTCGAAAACAGTTATAAAGAATAATAAATATTTTCCTGACTTTTTAAAGACAAAATTTAATTTACCTACATGTGTATTTAGCAATTTTTATGCGAACCTCGAAACTTTAAGTGAGTTAAATTTAATAACAGGACTATGAATAATTTGCTTAGAAAATTAGAGTTATTTATAAAATACACATGGCACGCGCAAGTCGTATGCGTATGGCGTTTGATCGTTCATAAAATACTTTTAGTCAATTGTTCTAAAACGCCATAAGATTTATATAGTCATAATCCGTGTGTCGGTATATCATACTGATTTTCGTATTCACATTTTGTAACAGTACGAACGCATGTAGCTTGAACGTTGATATTTACGTTCGTACGCACCATATACCGTATATTTAAGTCATTATCAATTGCGATGGTAATTAGTACATCACTATACTTATCCTAAATCATTAACCTACAGTGGGGAGACGCTCATCGGGCTACGACCCACTGAAATAATACAGCTATGAGAAACTTACACTTACAGAGTGATTGCAATGTACCGAACATACCAACGTATTAGATATTTATATCGGAATCAAAAAAATATAATATAATCTCTCTTATAACTATCATAGATCTGGGTATTGCTCGTCTATGAACGCACGCGTTTGTAAAATCATAGTTCATCGAAATTAAATACAAAAATTATAATAACAAAGCCTTCAATTATTCTTAAAAACGAATTTCCTATAGTTTACGGCAATACATTAGGGGATCAGTATCGAAATGGTAATGGTGTCAATGAATGAGTTGTGGAAGATATTGAACCCAAAGGCAAAGATGTGATCAAAGAGGACAGTCAAAGTGAGAGAGGTAAAGAGTCAGAGTCTATAAAGATAAAATACACAACAAAGTTATATAAAGTCCAAGTAAGTTAAACCCAATGAAAGACTACAACCCATTCATTAACACGCACTGAGAGTGTTTTTTTTAGATTAAATTGGGCAAGCTAAACAATATTATCGCAAACTGCTTCAAAATAAAGATACAAGACACTAACTACTTACATCTAATTAATCCTATCAAATCATACCTAATACCAAAGAAACTAAAGACTGGGTGAAAATAAAGGGTACGGAAATAATAAGAGAGTGCTTCAATGTACTAGTTACATTAAACACGGTGTTCCTAACTAACTTAACTAACTTATCCATAATTATACTAATTAGTACGATCGATTAAAGTTATTTTATCCTAATTTATCGAATAGCTAAAATCTACCTTCTACGAAAGCAGATCTGTCTTCAACACTGATCCCTATAAAATTATACTTTCTGTACCTCTCTGTCTCGACACTAGCTCATATCAAGGGAATCACAAGGAGACACATACAACTTAACAGTTAATTGAAGGAACAAGCACCCCCATTCATCGAAGTATGTAAACACATTAGGTTTATGTAAACTAACCCTCTTGCAGGATGTCAGCAGAATCGGGCACCTTCAAGGTATCGCGGAGCGTGGGACGACGAGGGTGTTAAACTACTGCCAACTAGACGATAACACTTTCCTAAAACGGTTCGCACCAAGTACTCATTACTATGTGGTACTATAATATGATGGCATTTGGAAGACATACAGCGCGGCGCAACTCTGATTGGTGACCTAGATGATATTAATAAGTGGGCGTTAAGCATTTGCAAAGTTCCGCACCGAAAGATCAAACTTAGCCTACACTATGTAGTATGTTGCAATGTCTTTATTTAAGTCTAGTCGCAATGTAGCCAGTTTTATAATTTTTTTTACAAAAACTACCTAACTGTTACTCTTAGCAACTATTTATTTGCAGTCAAAGCCCGCGAGATGTGTTGCGGCTCAGCTCTGACAGCGATTCGGTATGTTTTACTACCAGGACTAAAACGCCTTTTCTATGCAAAAAATTTTATACTTATTCACAACCCAAGGAGTTTCTTAATACAATCTAAGTTCGAAAACCAATCAGTTTTTCTGAATTGTTATTTTACCTACTAGAGCTCTATGGTACGGAACTTTTAAGAGTAGTTTTTAGGTTTTGATTTGGTAGTTATCAGGCAAAATAGCCTTGTTCCAACATAGTTGACCAATTATCCGTTTATAGATGAAATGTATTAATTAAAGACCATTAGACTAAAATAGGCAACTGCTTGACAAGTAGAAGTGAGTGAATTACTACATGATGGTTCGAGCTTGCTTACACCGCGCTGTATGCACAAACTTTAAGCGCCGAATCAGTTTTAGGAATTGTAATCGTGAATGGTATTTTCGATGTGAGCAATAATTTAGTTATTTGGCCTAATTCTTCAAACTGTGATATTCGTTTATTAGTGTGTAGTGCTTAATTAAGGAGTTATAATACATGCCTATCGATAATAATGCAAAGTGATATAGGTGCTGCTGTCGATGAATTTGGGGCGAAGTGAAGGGGTATAACTAGTTCTTAAATGGGTTACATGCATGTTAAACGGTTGCGTTATATACTGTGGCATTGAAACATCGTTTGTTTATGCGTTTGTTTACGACTATGAGATGTAATCATGGGACCACATGGCAAGACCTGATACTAGAATAATTTTAGTAATTCGGCATTTGTAGACCTTGTGACCTAAGATCACATGCCGCATCCGAAAATATTGAGTTTAAAGCAAAAATAGAATATTCTCCGCTCAATTTAATTGGCCTTTTCCCGGCCGAAACACGACCGTGGTCACAATACTAAAATACATATTATCTCATTCTCTCTCTCTAAAATTCGCTTTGTTACATCGATATTTACGGAGGCAGGTGTGATTCCAACCTATATCATGTGCCAGTTACCAAGAAAACAAGAAGCACAGGGGGCTAATATTGCCCTGGAGGTTTTACTCACCTCCGAAGTATACAACCTTAACATTTAAAACAGGTTAAAAAAATAGGAGTTAGATTTTGGATATACTATGGAACAGAAGCTGTCTGCGCGCCACGTTATCAGCAACCCACGAGGGAATCATTTTGCACCCGGGGGATTATATGGACCGGGCACAAGTAATACATGTAATTCCTATCGTATATGCTCAACTTCAATGCGCAGTCAGCTTCTGATCCAGAAGACCTCTACCTCAATATGCGAAACAGCAACAACCCGCAAATTCCAACTCTTAAACTGACAAGTGCTGGTAATAAATACATTACAGTGCTTTGATTAAAATACAAGCATTTTCGCGTATTGAAGTAGTGATCTGTAGTTTAGGGGTTTGCCGTAGAGGCGGTGATAGTGGAAGATCATGAGAGCACTAGGCGAAGGGCGCTGGGTACAGCGTGAAAAATTACGCAGTGACGATGCCCCTACCAACATTACTATGCGAGGATACCTTGATTAAATTGTATTGACTAAATGACTGGCATAAAAGCAAACAATAATATTGGTAGTCACTTCGGTACCTTCGCTACAAATAAATTTCTGTTTCGCGTTGCAATACTCAAAGATTCGCTAGTATCCTATACGCAGAATTGTAATACTATAAAGATGTTCGTTCCTACCTTCAGTGCCAATCAGAAATCTATTCCTAGTTGTAAAACATCGATATCCGATATAAAACATAGGCGCTATCGCTGTTTTTGAAATCTTTGAATACAAGTCCCATTACGGGTATCGCTATTCCGCCTACTCATGACCCGGTCACCAAAATGGCCGTGCCACAAATACGCGAAAAATTGCAAAGCGGTACGGCATTTAGCACGTACAATCTTAGAATCTAATAAAATGCATGAATTTTAATACTGTTTGAGATAATACTGCAGTTTACATAGTATATATTTGCAGTCAGTGTGGAATATTAATACGGGAACGACAATTTAAAAGCTGTGGATATGCTACGTGTTCTTAACCTATTAACATGTATATTATTATATTGAAATTTACGAAGCTCGGTTAAATATTGTTGCAATAAATCTTAGAGCAATGCAATCGAACATCAAATAAAGGTCATTCGAATATCGGGCCAACCTGCTTGATATTGCGAAGTATCGTGGTGTTTAGCGGTTGTTGGGTGGCTTGTAGCCGTGGGTCATTCGTTCCAGGAATCGGTGTAGGTCGTGGAAGCGAGGGCGCTGCATGGGCTCCCGACGCCAACATTCGTGCATCAGATCGTAGAGCTCGCGGCGGCAGCGCGGGGGCGGAGCGGCTGGCACACGGGCGCCACGTCCGCCACAACGCCATTCGCTGGCATTAGCGACCACCTGTTCACAAGATATACCTTCTTCACCAAAATGTCTTCAGATGTGATGCTTTAATAAATCAATCTTTCCTAAATAACCTAAATATTGCATAATTTACACAACAAGACTTTATTATTAATGAAATTAGAAAATACCCACTATATATCACCCTGCTCAAGTTTCGAACTGTTATTGGTAACAAAGCATGTTAATATAGCATTCAAAATGAATCTTAACCGGTATCTTACCTGGTCGTCGTTCATCTCTTCGAATGGTTTGGCCGAGCAGTATGTTAGGACTTCCCACACGGTTACACCAAACGACCAAACGTCGCTGGCTGGCGAGCACATGCCCTGATAAGGAAGAACAAAATTATCAGAATTGCATTAAAATGTAAAGAATAGCTTGTTCGTATTAGATTTTCAACCCGATTGTTTCGAAACAGTTTTGAAAATCCCCTAAAAAAAACTGGTGTTGACGTTTTGGTGATTATATTATAACAATGTGTTGTACCTAGTAGACACCTAAATGGAATAATAGAATAAATTACCATCAGTAAGCTTTCCCATGCCATCCACCGAAGCGGTATGCGGGAACCATCAGCCATAATGTGGTAGTCGGTCACGAATTCTTCACAGAACATTGCGTAGTCGGATACTTTTACATGGAGTTCTTCAGTCACGGTCACGTTACTGTGAAAACATAACTTGTTAAGTATTTACTCTATCTCTATCTATTTATTTAAGTAAAAATATCTGCTCCCTAAAATTTAAGTCATAAATATTTTTAGATTTTTAGTCAAACAACACGAAGAGGTAAAAGAAATAAGCAGTGGCACAAATAAAAAAACACGAGAAGCCAACGATATCGACAAAGTAAAATATTGTTCTTAAACCATCTTATTTACATGATTTTAGGTGTCAAAGTTCGTGAAATTTCAGAACAAGTCCAGTAGTTCCAGATTATGAGGTAACAACTGTTATAGATTGAATAAATTTTGTATTTTTCATCTTCCTACTACATTCGGTTTAATACCAGAATCCGCATTGCGGTCGAGCCTTACTCTTGATATTTTGTAAAACAAGCAAACGAGGGGGTCCTTTTTATTGTACTATTATTATCAACTGGAACTGAGTTTTGTGTTATGACAAAAATGTTATGATTTAGAAATTAAAATGGGTATTCTTTTTTTGTTTTCTAATACTCCTGAATGACGATGTAAAATAAATATGCTCAGATCATACCGCAGACACGAACTTTTATCGTAATAACGATTTTTCTCGCAAAACTGTATTCTTTGTGTTTATATATACTTACATAAATGAATAGGTACAATTTATAAAAAATGTGAAGTTTGGCCTTATAAAAACCAAACATATTTGCTATATAAACATTATTCTTGTACATTTAGGTAACGTGTGAATAGAAATCAGTACTTACAAGCATTAAACCAAAAGTATTTTTGGGTTAGTAAAGTAAGTACTGTACTTACCGAGCTGCTAAATCGCGATGGACTAGCTCGAAGGATTCTAGATATTTCATGCCGGCGGCAATTTGGCAGCATACGTGTATAAGACTCGAGTAGCTGCAAAAACACAAAATTGTCAATTCCGATTCGTCATATTGTGGAATTGTGTTAATTGTCAAATTAAAACTCACCTCAATTTCCGGTCCGATCTCAAAATCGTGGGCAGGGGGGCGGCATCTCCGCGATCTAGGGCTGCGCATGGTGGTTCTAACAAGCTCAAGCCTAGCACTCTGGCCAGCTGAGGGTGCTTCAAACCTGCACCCCAGGTAGCCTCGCGGGCAAATGCCGCTCTATAACAAAATCATCCAATTGAGTGCTTATGCTTATCAGGGTCACACTGAGGTCTTGTACGAAAAATAAATTATAGAGATCATGTTTTTAAAGTTTTAATGGTTTATTATTATAACATCTCCTTCACCAATAAAAGAGCTATGCGGCTACTTACTTCACTTCGCTATGGCAGCCGCGCCACAACGTCTTCACAACAACGAGGCGGCGGCGTCCGCCAGTCGGTGACTCCTCGTCCGACAATTCTTCGATGCCATCGGTCTCGCATATCTGGAGCTGTGGAAAAAATTGACCCGTCAATAATTGAAACCCACCTCCGTTCAATTACATGACCAAACTCTTCATTTTTATTCCATGGCGGGTAGTAACTGCCAAGGAAATAGTTCTTAAGCACGTAATATAGTGAGGGAGCGAGGAGAATTTCCTGTATATTTCACAAAAGCCTACTTTGGCCCAGTTTCTAAGTTTACCGAGCGTGGAAAATGGCTTGGCGCCTTGCGGATTTACAGGCCTAAAGAAAAACCCTACCTTCCCTTGTTTAGACTCCTATGTTGCCGTGGAGGTACGCTTGTTTGATTTCAAATATTTTGCCCACAAAATAAACCTTTATTTAAAGAAATATTTCCGAAAAATATATCATATTTGTAGAAAGCAAAATGGAACGATTCAACGATGGTCAATGTTACGATTCCTCAGTAAGTTATTCAAACGCAGGTGGCGACGTAGATAAAAGTGAAGTATTATTATGATTCTGATCACACACGTGTTCCGAACAGTTCAATGACTATGACTATGTCAACTTCTTAGAGTATTTTCTAGATGAGCTTTTGCGCTATTTTGGAAAACCAGTAGTACTCAAGATAATTGGAATTGGCGGTCCGTAAGACTGTCACGAGTGAAATTCAATATGTTTCAATTAAAGTTAAAAGTTACGTGGCCAATAACAAAAGCCTTGCAGTGAAAGAGTTGCTTGCCTTTTCAGACAACAAATCTCTGTAAATCCGGAAACTAATGGAATTAAAGTATTGTTTGTTCAGGTGGCTCGTACGAGGGCGCCGGTAAATAGCCCAGTCTTAAATCCAGGCTGGTGCGGCGAGCAGCCTGTTATCCTTTAATCAAAACTGGCCACAATGTTAAAACAAAATTACATTAAATATGTGTACGAATTGTTAAAGCAACAAAAATTTTCTTTTATGTTACATTCGAGAGCTCTGAATGTTTCATTGAAAGAATAATAAAGGAGAGTCTCTCGTACAAACCCCACTATTATCATGGGTAACAAGCCGCTGTGGCATTCTTCCCCTAAATTTTGCGGTGAATTATGTTTACATTAGGTCAAGTATTATTGTCCTTGAGAATTGAGGGTACGGGAGAAAAAAGTGCCTAATCTGCTCCCTCACTGAGAGGGGCGAAAACTAATGTCATTTCGTAAATTACGAAGTGCGCGTTGTGTAAAGTGTATAAAATAGATAATAATATTTATTTAGCTAATAGAATATGAACATTGTAAACGAAATAAAATGTGTGGTTTATTGATTAAACGTAGCATAGACTAATCTGCTCTGTTTACTGTAAGTGACCAGTGTTAGTTATAAATACCTATAAGCAACGACGACTCGTCCATCATTTAAAAATCTACGTTTTGTAATTAATTATATGCAAATGAAACTCCATTTGAATAAATTAAAGCTCGTTATGCACACAGTAATTATTTTTTAATATCGTTCCATTAACAAAGGCACTGAGTGCTCTGTCTACCCTTTTATTTTTTTATCGTCCGTTCCATTACCAGTACCTGAATCGATTTCGACTGTTTGTAGGTTTTTAACCTTCAATGAAAATGAAATTGTATTTTGAAACTTGTAAGATTAATTTGTTAGTTGAAGAAGTTTTGCCGTTTACAGCGCACTTCGTTGGGCACTCTAAAATTTAATTTGAGTGGCGGCACCGCACACATTGACTAGGTACGTCGTTAATATAATAAAAATATGAAAAATAAACGCCCCAAGCTATTAAACGGTGTTGTTGGCGGGTGGTGAGACCGCCACCGCCCGTTGGGGGGGACTGAGCCAGATTGCATTTTCTTGCTACGGTCAGTAATCAATTTTTATGGGCATTTTTGTAGACCAACACTCTGCGATTCCCTCTCTGTATGAGTATTACACGAAAGAGTAGATGCTTGGACATGCGGCATAAAATCAGCTCTTTACGAGCATCTACTGCCAAATTCGAATATGAACATTAGTATTCAATAATTTGGACAGCACACTGGATCCTCGTATCTTCTAATAAAAAATAATTAAATATTTTAATTAGAATCCGTACGTAAGTCTTTATATGATCCCTAATTGGTGTTACGAGTGAGATGTGTATGTAAATTTGTATGCAACCACGAAATAGGAAAAAATCTTAGTGTTCGGTAACGTTTAAAAAAGTTAATATATGTAGAATGTATACTTCGTAGCAGATAGGTAGATACCTAATGCAATAATATTCAGCTGGCTCTGCCTCAAGCATCTGCTTACATTCTCAAAAATTGTATATACATTATTATGCCTAACGATCGTTGGATAACATTCAATTTAGAATTCAAATGAATATTCGAAATCGTTCAACTTTGGGAAAGGTAATTTGGTTTTACCAAAAACTCTATTTAGCCTAACATCAGCACAAAATAATATAATCTATATAATGGAGAACCGGCCGCAGTTGCGGACTAATCTTTACATTGTATTCAGATTAATCATAAATTTTCAATCAAGCGATACGCCTCCCTCACTTGGAGCGGTAAATAAATCGGAAAAACTTAAGTCGCCTTCTAGGTACTTACCTAAGTCCTAAGGATAGGTCATTAAGGTTTGATCTGCAGTGTGTGTGGGAATTGTGTTAGGTATTCACCCATCATCGAACATAGCTTAAGTGATTAGCGCCGACGGCTAATCACTGAAGACAGACACTGTCGAGGTTGGGATAGTCTGGCCTTTAGATAACTACGTATACTGGTTAGCATGGTTTCATTGTACAATACGTATTGTTATACGTCCGTAGTACCTAGATATACATATGGGTATAATATGGCGTACTGTTGTACCCAGTAAATCGAACAGATTAACTCATTTAGAAGTAGGTTCAAATTGATATTCGGTCTATATTTATACAGAAACACATGTGTGATTTTGCCATTACGTAATAGTGAGTATTGTTCTTATAAATATCGTAGCAACAGCTAGACAACAAGATATTAACAAATATACGATACAATACCAAAAAATCAATGTCCATCTGCCGTAGAAATACAGAGTAAATAATAACAATATTATTTCACATCCAGTGTAGTTTATGTGAGTATAATAGTGATTGCTATAGTGGTTAGGAAGAGAGAACAGAAAGAAAGAGCAATGAAGAGTAAATAAAATGAGGAGTGAAGATTTAACAAAGACTAATTAAAAGTAACAAAACATTTGGACGCAGTTAAAATACATTCGTAACGCGAAAAGGCCATATCTGAGGGTATGTGGCAAACTCGGGGCTGTATACAGGTGGCCGCGGTTCACTAATTCACTCTGTTTGTTCGTTCTTAATGAAAATACAACAGGGGCACGCTCTTTTGTGTACTCAACATTCCAGCCGGCAGAGGTGGTGTGTGATGCGCTTGTGTGCGCCGGCGCGCCTGTGTGGCCCCCACAACAGTGCGCCATCTCACACAGGATCCTAATTAGATCGGTGGCACTTGTAGTCACGCTACTGACGCATAGAATAACACCAACTATCGCATGGAAACCACCTCCACCTAACTCCGTCTAAACTTTGAAACGTTTATATCCCCCGGTTCGTTGTATCAGCAACTCTATTATTCATGGGTAAACTACCAGACTTCCTAATTTGTTTTTGCTACAATTACCACTAGCCTGAATATTTAAGTTTTGCTGTCGTGTTTGCACGCAAGTGCGTGACCGGAGTTAGGATTCAATATTGACCTAGCAACTTCAGTAGTAGAAAGTAATGGGATTGGTTTTTTAAATATGTATACGCTATTGTTGTAGATGTTCGTGATAACAAAACAAAGGATAGAGTAGACCACCAATTATCTTCATACAGTTCAATAAATAATTATTTGAGGTAGTAGCTTTCGATATTGTCCTACTAACACAACACACTTAAGTTAATAAAATCGATTAATTACGTCAAAACCCCTTCAGTACATTGAAAGTCAAATTAGAATGAGAAAGTACATATTTACATTACGAATACGGACTAAAAGTAACAACATTTTGTTTGCTAAACTATCAACTCTTTACTTGAGTTAAATGATTAAAGTTAATGTTAGTTTCTCTAGTAATTATTGGTTCAGCTGTACGTATTAAGTTCGAATAGATAGATGTCTTTGCAAGACATGGGTATAGATTTATGATGTCTAATAGGTACTGATAATGAAACGTTATTAGCTTAAGGTCGATATAAATAATATTGGGAGCAATTTCTTCTCAGTGCAGTGGTTGCGTCAGTTTTCATGTATCGATTCCCGCCCCGAAATTAAGTTCCCACCTAAAACGAGGTGGACGATTAGGCCGGAGCTGACCGAGTGAGCGGGGAACCAACGTAGAGGCTTTTGTCGGATAATTTCTTTAGAAGAAATTCAAATAAAAATTGGATTTGACTTTATAAATTAATTGCAAGATTTCTTTGGTGTTAAAATGTTTTTGTAAGAACTATCTTGTTGAAAACATGACGTGTAGCATAAAATTGTATAGTTTTATAAATAAGAAAAATATATTAGACGATTCTAATTATAATAAAATCTTTTTTTTCGTATCAGAGTTACGTGCAGAAATAAAGTATTTAAGATGTTTGAAAACATAGTCTTTTTCTAAGAAGACGAACATTTTTCACAAAGTCCCTGCTTTTCGCAGCTTATGATATTTGACATCAAAAACGAACAATATCGTTTATTGTCCCATAAACGTGGTGTTCTGTGGTGACAGTACAGTTGCTCCGTAACAGCGTGTATAATTGCCGCCCTCTCTCTTTCCCTTCCCCTCTTTTTATAATAACATATATACATTATAATATATTAGCGTAGGGATACAAATTTTCGGGTTTTCCTAAAGATAGTACAGTTAACTAGACGTGAACATTGACTGAGAATAGTTAGTAAAGGTGATAACTGTGACCCAGTTGATGAGAAAGTGTTAAATTCTTATTAATTTCGTACAATAGTATGAGTCCTACATTAATATTAGGAGATGCAAAAAAGAAATGTTCCCAGTTCAAACAAACGAACGAATAGATTCATTCAAGATCAGTTTCTGTCTAGCTTTCCCCATGGATAACGTAGGATTACAAACTTACTAGACAAATGTGACGACTAAATGTAGATATTAACAATGCAATCGATAATATATTGGTAATATATTCGCATTGGCATATTGCGGCGGCCACCTGGGCTCCTAAGCTAAAACTATTTGGGTTGATGCGAGCGCTCGACGGCGCGGTGCGGCGTCGAGGAGGGTTACCCAATGATTTATATTGACATCGATTATTGAGGTAAGTAAACTTTTCGAATAGGGTGGTTTATCACTATGTATATTCGACACGTTGTTTTATGCCCATCTTTCATTTGAAAATTAGACTTAACATTTGTTTTGCCGTCCGATTATTACTAGTTTTATCATGTAAATAGCCTCTTTGGATAACCAATTCAAGCTTTTAGATAAAAAGAAGGATAAATTATAATCGTAACGACAAATGTGCTGTCATAAAGAAACATTGTCAATTATGACAAAAACTATAAAAAATGGAAAATTAAATGTGAAAAATTCAATAAATAGTAAATAGGTGCACAAAGCAAATGATCGACAAATATGGATGACTTTTTCAAAAATATTAGATCAACACTAGTAAATGTAGATAACATTATCAAAGAGGAACCTATATCGGGTAAGTCCTATGATAAAGTAGAAAACTAGAGTAATGGAATAAAGTAAGGGAAGGAGCCGGTCAGATAAATAAACCAGTCTTCGACAGAGACAACGTCGAAGATAACATTGTCAATTTAGACCCCGGTCTAAAGTAACACCTTGACTTATTACCTAACAATATCTCACTGCACACATGAACATTGTCTCTGGATATTTCACATATTGGCATTTATTTTTATTGAGCGTACATCGTTGCTTTAGTTCAAATGGTTATGCTTTGACTCCAACATCAATCATTTATCGTCTGGTGTTAATGTTATCGTTAGAATGTATTGCCGTGTATGTTGGCAAAACGATACAGTTTCAGGTTTATTGCAGTACTGAAAATTTTAAACTCAAGAAACTTAATAATAATTATCCTTGTTTTGGAGGTACACTAGCAATCATCGGACCAAAGAAGTCGACAACAAAATATAGATTTTGATTGCCTCTTTGTTTTATACTATATCCATCAAAAATAGGCTGGAACTTGTAAATTTTCGTGGCTATTCTTATATCCTTTTTTAGGAAGCATTGGCAAGGCTATGGTTATAATATAGATATTATTGATGGCAAGATTTTCTACAAAGTTATAAAAGTTCAAAGAGGTCTCCGTCAACATGAATTATCCTGAAACATTGTTGATGTGTGTACCTATATACTGAGAAATCATCTAAATAATAACCATCATACAATAATAAGTTAAAAACGAAGATTGATTAATTTTCGTCGTTTAATATTTTGCAGAAAATAAAATTGATCACAGTAAATTACTAAAAGACATAGAAATCAAACCCAAGGATCATGTAAATCAACTACCCAAAGATGATACGCGAGTTAACGTTAACCAACAATACGTAATAATTAAACAGCTAAAACGAAATGATTTAAACGTAAATGAGAATTCAGGACCATGTGAAGGTCGACTAGAGGCAGATCAAAAAGACAAATTTAGTTTTAAATCGATGGAAGTGATTGGAATAGTCGACAAGTCAAACACAAAAAAAGATACCAAAGATGAAGTAAAAAGTTTCAGAAGTAAAATATTTGAAACGGTTATGGCTAAATCAAGCAGCTTTCTGGAAAAAGTTGCAGCTAGTTATAATGTTTTAACAAAGGAAGAGGAAGCACCAATTGGTGATGAAGTACCCGAGCGACTACCATTTGACATGTTATTGAATTTCGTTAATATATAGCAAACGAGCTTTTTCATAGTCTAAGCAACAAGTACTTATTCAACAAGACTGCAAAAATCAATCTACATCATCTCAATCATCTTCATTAAATCAATCTGCACCAATTCCTAAATACTCTTTCCGCCATCACTACAATAACTTGAACGAAACAGGACTTGTCAACTAGACTCAAGTGAAAAAGACTCGTTTGCGTAAAACATAATTCATATCGACTCATCATCATCATCATATTGCATTTGAAATATACCTATGACATATCTTATTATAAATAATTAACAAAACTGAACCCCTTAGTATCTTTCATCTTAAAACCTTGGATATCTTTTATCTAAATAGAGTTAGACTTGATAAATGTTATTTTTTTACAAAATATGATAAATGCCGATATGTGAAAAGATAAAGGGCCTTATTTCTTTAGATCGTGAAGTTAATATTTCTCAAAAATTCATAAATTTGTTGCTATTATTAGGCAAAAAAATTAAAACTAAGATAAGAAATTAAGGTTACAGAAATTAATATTACTTCAGGTAAGAACGTGAGAGTTGATGACAAGCCAATCAACTATATATTGGGAAAAGTTGATAAACCAATAAAACAGCCAGAACCTCTAAATGCTCAGGAGCTCGATGAAAAACTAAATGAAATATCATTACAATCCAAAGCAGCCATTGAAGACTTAAAAAATCAATCAATTAAGATAGTTGATACAGCTAGAGCTCAAACAGATATGGTAATTGAAAATGCTAGATATAACTTCAACATGTTCTCGAAATCCTTGGAAGAGGTGGATCATCAACAAACATTAAATATCAGTGAAACAGTAAATGTCAGTGAAGAAGAACCAGTCGACGAGACATTCGATGAAATTATAGAAAAGTGTTTTGGAAGTAGACATGTTATAGATTTCCTCAACTAAAACGAATGTCAATAAAAGATGACAATGTTTAAATTGCACTGTGTAACCTCATATTTTGTAACCTCTCATTTAGATAAATTATATTTGCAAATAATTTAATGTTATTTATTTTTTTTCATTAATTTACGTTGCGTAAAACCACAGCTATATGTTTGTAGATGTGCTTGATATAATTGTTTGTATGTACCTATTAGTGTTCAATCGATAAGTGAAAGTACTATAAAGAATGGGTACTTACACTCCCATGTGGGCCCTCTCCAAGGAAGGTTATCGGTCGCATGCGCCCCCGCGGGAAATCCAGCAGGGGCGCCACTCCGTTTGGGGGCTCGGCTTCGGGAAGTTTGATGGATGTAAAGAGGCCTGGCACTGGCTTCTCACGGCGGCAAGAGCGTTCTTCCGGGTACGTCTGCGAATAAAATAATAGAATCAATGTTTATACTTCAACATCTTCTATAGTTTACTCTCTCTTGTCTAGTCACAACGCAAGGACGTTACGCGATTTCTGATTTCCTTGTAAAATGTATTAATTTAGCTGACTTTGTGAGCCTTAAATACGACTTATGAAATCGGTACCATTCTATGACTTCTTGTTCGTGATATGTAACTATCATCTCATGCAGGTTAGCTTTCAATCAAAGCATCATATGAAGTCATGTAATGATAACAACCTATTATATTAAAGTATTTTTAATCGAAATGCGTTATTTCGACTAAAAAGACTTTAATAAAACTATATATGAAATTCTATTGCATCTAGTTTCCTTAGAATTGAGTATAATCTTCGATACACATTGCTAGTATATGGAATAAGCGACTATGCACGGTACGTTTCTCGAGAACACCGTGACATAGCGAGGCGTCGAGAGATATACTATGATTGTTAGGAATACCGACAGAGTACTATCTTCAATCCTCCATATATTGACGTAATAGTTCAGCCTTGACTGTGAATATGTGTACTATTGCAATATGCATCGGGGATTTTAAGATTGAAATCACTATACCAATCTACCTCTAATTTAGTCTGGATCTGGCACACTCTTCTAACCCCTAACAATCTTCTTAACAATACGTAGTCAGCATAGTTATTTAAATAAATCCTGCAGTAAAACATTAGTAATATTTGATGTAACTACGTAAGTAAAAATATGGGAGAAATGAGTCACAAATAATGTTTACCGTTCCAAAAGTTATTAGAGTGGAGTTATTAGTGGGAATATTGATCAATAGGTTCCTACATTGCGTTAATGTTCGATAGCACACACATTTTATATGTACCCGTAAATAACATTGTTCCTGCTTAATTGCTATTCCCCTTCCAAGATTGCGTTGCTATAATTTATACGGTACCATGAATTATTATGGTCGTAGGTGTATTATGTGTGTGGACTGCAGGTATTATGGTAACATTAATCATTTCCGAAATTATAAATGAACGTCTTTGATTTTTGATTTTTTGGTGCGTCATCTCTCATTTGTTGTATTTTCATTTCTTGAGTAGATTTCCACCAGGTATGTACATTTTCTTTATTACTCCTATGTAATAGAGGTGAGTATTGAAGATCCATACCCAAGCTCGTGTAGCATTTTTGATATATTGGATCAAAAACTGTGCTAAAGCTTTACAAATCTCAAGGAATTAAGAACATAGTATGCTTTTGGCGAAATGTATCCGCGTATGTTTTAGCTAATACAAAACAAACGTCATTGGCGATGGCAAGTCTGTTGTAAAGCCGGCGACTTAGAGGCAAAGCCGTACAAAGCCATAGTAAAACATTAACAAAACACGATCGACCCCAACGAATCGCTGGCTCATAATACCTTCGTGTAGTCATTTATCATTTCGTAAACGACCGCGTAATACCCATAATGAGTAAAATCCAGGCATACCTTGGGCAATACCATTAATATTACAAAACCCGGTCTCTCCCCTTCAATGGATGTGCTCTGTATAGTTTGAAGACCTTTGCGGTGTATTTTGGTGAACTTGGACAACATATAAATAATGTGAATGTTATCCTGTTGTAGAAAGCTGAGCTGAGTTGTGACTTAAGCGGTTGAGGAGAAAAAAAATTACGTGACGGTAGCGAGACTGCTTAAAATATTTTTAATCGACTTATTTCATTTGAAGTCCTTGGTAGTACCTACATGAAGAATTAAGTTCGTTTGTATGCCAAAGTTATTCCCAAAAGTTACATCGAGATACACACTAACGTACCTTTAATTAAACATCTTATAATTATTACAAAACAAAGTAGGATTTAAACTTGACAGCTTCAAGTATATAAAGTACTTGTCTCGTTATCTTTAAATTAAATCCGCTGTACAAAATTATCCGCTTCATGAATCGAAAAAGTTAAAAGGCAGTCAAAGAGTTGAGTACAATATGCCGTGAAATGGCCGTAATCAAGAGAAATATTAAAAAAACAATAAAAAAAGTAAAAGATAGCGTTTGTGAAAGATAAAGTTTGCTCTTCGCAGTTAATTATGTCGCTGTCCTCATTGTTTATTGATTTATAGACTAAATTAATTGTTTTTTTTTCATCGGATATGGCGACAGTTTTCTTAACGTAGTGGGCGGTTCAGAAAAAGTTTTGTTGGATTTTTATGACCTATATGTTAAGTATTTGTTCCATCATGAGTTTTACAGTTTGTCTGACTATGTGGAAAACTTGAAAATTGTATTCAAAATGCACTTTTCGCTACATCTTTTATATTTGTATAGAATTTCATAACAATCGCTCCATCTATTCCGAAGATAGTGTCAGACACACAGACAAAGCAATAAAACACTTTTATGTTCTAACCGCTGTGGGACTATAAAAGAGACGAAGAGTATTTCACTATAACATACACTCGCACGATATGGATTGTCTTATTATAAAAACAACTTAAACCGTACTGCATCGGAACACAGAACACATTCAGTTATCATCATTTCTTCTCGGTACATAAATTTTATTTATGAGTAAATAGAATAAGCCGACGGCTATGCAAAGCAATCCATTATTTAATTCAGCTCCTGTGCGACACCCCTGTTTGTGGGGTGTGGGGGGCGGGGGTCACGGGACATGTGACATATTCTAGTGTCACACGGGGGTACTTACAGCAGCTAGTGTTGTGGCTACATGTTCCCGGGTGTTACATGTAATGGAGTGCTCCCAGAAAACGGGGAGGCAAAATTTTTGAACAATAATAATGATAATTAATGGCCGTGGTGGCCCGGAGGTTTGAGACGCCCGCTTCTAATGCATGAGCGTGCAAGTTCGTTACCTACCAATGGCATGTAACAATGCAATTTTTGCCGAAGTTTCTACTTTTGAAGGAAAACATCGTCAGGTAACTCGGGCTTATAATTTCTAATTAAGTGTATTCAGCAGTGGGCACTTATAGACTGTTGATGAATAATAATTGTAATCTTTGTATATGCGAATGAAACAAATGGACAAATGATTTGTGTCGTATGTGAATGGTGATGTAGTTACGAAGTGTGTAGCAAATTAGCTGGATATGGTTCTAAAATGTTTCTGTGTGTTCTTGAATAATTATTATTATAGGATTATTTATTCCGAAGTTGTCAATGGGCAAAACATGGAATTAATTGCGAAATAAGCTTAGTTATATGAGACTTAAATGAGGAAATGTATATGAATAACATAAATATGTATTTCTAAAACCGTGAAGCCATATTTTGATATTATTTCGGCGTACTAATTATACACTGACGTTCTTCATTACCAGTCAAAATGTTTTCAATCATAAAAACCTGATATTACTTACGAAGCCCTTGTGTTATTAACAATTAATCCCCCTAAATGAAACCTGAGCCCCTCCCCTCGGATGACCTATCACAGGTATTTTTAATTAACTTTCAAATTAAACCCCTACTGGAGATCGTTTTTCATAGCTGGCATATTGTCATGAAATAATTTTGGCTAATTCACTGAACAATAAACAGGTAGGCGATGTAATATTACTTATTTATGTACTTTAGTATAATTTAATTTTAAATGGATTATGATTTATTTCATTTAATGTGAATAAGTGCTTTTAAAATTATTAGTAGGGGAACAAAAATGTTTGAATTTGAGTATTAGAAATGAATTTAGTTATCTCTGCCTGCCTCGTTCGCCGAGTGGTCGACTGCCGGGCAAGGGGTCTCGATTCCCGGGTCGGGCATTACCGGTTTTTTTAATCTCAGTAGTAGCACGGAGTCTGGAATCTCATTTACCAATTCGGGGATAAAAGACGTGATATTATGTTATGTTATTTAGTTTTCAAAAGGAATACTACTAATTTAGCTAAGTCATTATGTTCCCTGCAGTGGGACGACAATGGCTGACAAAAAAATGTATGACTTAACTTTAGTACTTCTTTATCTACGTAGGGAAGAATTAGACGACACAATTGTTTTATTTGAAACCGGGTTCATAAACTTTTCTAATTTATTTATTTACTAGCTGTTGCCCGCGACTTCGTCTGCGTAGACTACTAATTTTAGGACATAACTTTATTAGTTTCAATATTCCAAAATAAAAATAGCCTATATTACGCCTAATTACATCAGCTAACTGACAATAAAAGTCCCGTCAAAATCAGTCTAGCCATTTCAGAGATTAGCCAGTACAAACAGACAGACAGACAGACAAATATTGCAAAAAATATTATTTTGATATGTGTATTAACAAGCATGTATTGGTTATTTTAATATTACAAACAGACGCTCCTGTTTTATTTGTCTGAATAGACATGTAAGTGTTGAATTGTGTTCATAAAATTAATGTGTCTTTAAATATTCAAGTAAAGTATCCCCTGACTGGCAGTTTGTGCATAAAAAGTACATTACTGTGATGTATTTTGTGCATTACATAATAAATTTACTAGTGGACTTCCATGTGGTTTGTAATTTGTATTATTTTTGTAGGTAATTTAACATTGTTTTCTGAACACAGGTGAAGAGTGATAAAACGTATTATTTTTAATTTTATCAATTGCGAATACCGAGTAATGTGAAGGACTATTAGACTATGTTTAATTTTAATTTTTCTTTACGTTTGTTTGCGTGTACGACAGTAAGTTCATTCTTTCTGTCACGAAACTTTATAATATAGAAGTTACTCTGGTATGGTTTTATTCACTGTTCGGTTCCTATCGGTCGTAGCGTGATATTTTATAACCTATAGCTGACCTCGATAAATTGACTATCCAATACAAAAATATTTTTTCAAATTGGACCAGTCAGTTCCTAAGCTTCGCCTGTTCAAACAAACAAACAAATTCTGCAGCTTTATATAACATAGTATAATAGATCATAACTAAGTTATAATAGAGAACTTCTTCTTACCCATTCGGGGATTAAAAGGAGCGATGTTATGTAAACAAAATTTTAGCGAAACATATTTTGTT